ATAATTTTTTAATGCTTTTACAGGTATTATTTAATCCTCACAATAACCATATGAGGTATAAACTCTAATTATCCCCTTATGACTGATAAGGAAATAAGCTGAATAGTTTCCTCCAAGTTACACTGCCTGCAAATGGCACAGCGGGGAACAAGATTAACAGAAATGGTTGGATCCCAGAATCTGTATTTATAAACATTTACTACCCTTTACTGCTCCTCTAACAAAGATTAAGTAAACGAACCAATGAAGGAATGCAACCTCTCCCAGACAGAAGGAGAGTACTGACTTCAGATGGGGCAAATCTGGGACCTTTCGTTTCCCCTTCAAACAGAATTTAAATAAAGGCAGTGTTTACCTTGTTGCTAAAGTCATCCACTTGTCAGAACCACTCAAACTCACACCCATGCCAGCAAGAAACATCTGAAGACAGCACAATTTCCTAAAGTGTTACCTGCACAGCCATTTAATTTATGCCAGTTATCTGCAAAATTAGCTACAGCAGTCTCCAACATCAGCAGCTCTTTCCCTAAAACATTTTTTACAAAGGAAAAGTAACTTTTTAAACACAGCATTTACATCAGAATTTCCAAACTCTCTACCCTAAAAATTATTATAAGCTAAAGACATCCAAAAAAAAATTATCAATGTCTACCTGCTGACAAAACTTAAACAACAAAGGGTCAAATGGCCGATCTGGCAACTACGTTGCTGAAACAGGCAATACTTTACCTGAGGGGTAGCTTAACTGAGGCTAAATGTCTGCCTACAGACAAATAGGCCTGAGTTGGGATCCTGGTTCAGTCGATTACTGTTTTCACAAATGGAAAACATGACTAACAAACATGTCCTTCTCGCTGGATTTTTGTGAATGAGAATAAGACATTCAGTGGAAGGCAAACACTTCCCAAGTGTTAGTGCCCCAGTTTTACTCTAAAGACTTGACAACATCATCTGCCTCTGTTTCAGACTGGAGAGCAAATGAACTGCCTCTCATGATAACTTTCTAGTTTCTCCCTGTGCGCTGAGAGTGGTGTACTGGTTGAGGACGCTGCTCTGGGACTGCGTTCCAGTTAGCCCACTTAATGGTGGCGTGATTCCTGCACCTCATTTTAGGTTCACCTGTGAAATGAGGAAGAGGATGATAAAAAAAATAAAGTGCATCTTTCTATGAGGCTTAAACTAGTCTATGCATGAAAAATGCAAGGATCATCAGCTGGGAAGATGGTATGTGGACAGGAAATGTTAGTCATTCCCCTCTCCCCAGAGGCGATCCATTCCACATTTTTAGCCCACACAGAATGATTTTTTTAGAACTCTAGAATGTTAGAGCTGAAGGGCCCTACAGAAGCATTTCTAGTCCAACATATGAACAAATGGCCACCAGGGAAGACCAGAGCTGGCTAAACGGCAGAGGTGGGAAAGCTTCAATCTCCCCTTCTGCAAACTGCCAGGCCATCTTACGCAAACAGGTGGAGCTACTTAAACATCTAGAAAGAACTTTCACTTATCAAGCTTTTCAGGAACCACTTACTGCCTCAAGTAGCACTTTTTGTAGGGAGGTAGTGAGTAGTGAGGTAGTGAATAGGGCATAATCTATGTCCCAGGAATCCATATGCAAGAGATACATAAAACAAAAAATGAAAATATTAATTCCTTTCCAGAGTAATTAAGTATTTTCCATGGGAGAAAATAAAACCAGTTAACATTTACTAAGTATTTTTTAAGTATGTGACATAATATTGTGTCTTTTATTTTTTTCATTTTCACTTAGTTTTCATCAAGCATCTTATATTTTTCCTTACAACCAGTTCCCCTGCCTTGAACCCATCTGTGCGCTGCTGCTGTTATCTATTATTTTCCTGCTCAAAGTACATACGATGCTCTCATGAAATTGCCTACTTACTTGTCTGGAAAATGACAAGGCCACTATGACCATGTTTATCATTCATTTCTCTTTGAACAAATATCCCTGAGCAGGAACAAGACAAATGGCCCCAGCTCATTGTGGCAGACAATATTTACCAAAGATGGTTGCAACAGTATCTCCTATCTCACAGGCTCTTCTAAAATGTGACTTCAGTACAGCTCCCATTAGAGGTGAGATGTTAATGTCCCTTCCTCTTGAACCTGTCGCAAGGGTGTATAATGCTATGCTATGTGAGCATATAAAAATGCCACACATTCCCCACCCTGTTCACCTCTGGTACCTACTTATGGGATCCAGCTGCCATACTGTAAGGAAGCCACTAGGCTACATAAAAAGACAACATGGAGAGAGGTAGCCAGCTAAGTAGAGGCCCTATACGTTATGGAAGAGGGGGAAAAAAGCCTTCCTTTCATTCAAAATCCTGATCCACAGAACAATAAAAATAAAATGATTTCTTTACAATACTCAATTTTGGCGTGGCTTATTATGCAACAATAATAACTAGAACCACTATAACCACTCAGAGCTTATTGTCTAGCAAGGACTAGCTACTGAATGCATGACCCTTAAGGTACTGTCTACAATACTGTAGAAACACAGTAACACAATACTGTAATTGAAACAGAGTAAACTATTTTCTTTTTTGGTCTGGTAGTGTTTATTTGTTTGTTTTGTTTTGTACTGGGAATCAAACTCACAACCTGCACTTGCCAGGCAGGCGCTGCGCCACTGAGCTATATCCCTGGCCCCTGAGATAGATATTATACCCATTTTGCAGCAGAGGAAAGGAGCAAAAATTATTTACTGAAACCTGGACATGGTGGTGTGCATCTGTAATCTCAGCAGGAGGGAGGCTGAGGCAGGAAGATTGCCATGAATTCAAAGCCAGCCTGGGATACATTACCAGTTCAAGGCTGGCCTAAATTACATAGCAAGACCCTGTCTCAAAAACAAAAAAAAATTACTTACTAAAGGAATGATTACATTCAGGCTCATTGACAGTCCAACTAATCTCATTATCTCATTACTTACACCAATAAATGTGAAAATAGAGGATAAGAAAACACAATTAAAAACATCAGACTTGCAGCAGAATCATCTCACATAGTAAGGCCAGTACAAGAAAATGGAAGAGGGTTTGGGATTCATCTACAACTCACCCACTTAGACAAGTTTAAACCCTGAGTTCACAGATTTCAACCCAATTCTCAACTAAGAGTTAATGAGGAGAAAGATGTTCAAGCTCAAAATGGAAGATTTTCTGTAGCTGATGGGATGCAGTAGGGGTCACATCCCCTAATCTCAACTCATAACCACGATATCCCCTCAAAAAAAAAAGTCTCTTCAGACTCAGTGGTGAAACTACACCAAGACAACTGTTGATGACCTTCTAACAGCAGATCTTCTGTCCTTCATGTGGTCCTTTCTTGTGCACCTCCCTGGGACCCAGACGCTGTCTCCCCAGGGCAAGGAGGAGACAGTAACCGAGTCTTCAGACCCAGCTCGGGAGTCCCGGTCCCCCACGACCATTCTTCTTCCGGGAAGGAAGGTGACCATTTCTGAGGACCTTCCAGAAGCCTAGCACTAACATTCCTTTCCTTATTTAAAGGCTATTTCTTCTCCCAAGCCGAGAATGAACTACTTGAGAGGCATCAAGTGTAACTTCCCCTACTTAACCTTTCCCAGACCCACTACTCCTTATCCCAACCAATCCTCAAGCTTCTCAGGAGCGGTTGGGGAAGATAAAAAAGAATCTGGCGTGACCTACGGGATGGATGGGGTGGGGGCTGTTAGGACAAAAAGAGGGTTATACTCGGGCAGGGCCCGGGATCAGTAAAAGATTAAGATAAGAACACCGTCTGACCCTTTCCAAGACCAATGTATCCATCACTGGTGACGAGAAGCAGGAAACTGAAGCCCAGCAAACAGGTGGCCCCGAGACGAGGCCACATCTCGACGGTGGTCGGCGCGTGGGGCCACCCGGCCGAACGGGCACAGGGCTGGAGGGTCAGTAGAAGGTCCGCTGGCTCCCCAAGCGCGGCTCAGCCCAAACCTTCACGTTCCTAGATTTTTTTTTTTTCCCCCAAACTCTGAAGGAAGTGATGTTAGACGGATGTGGGTGGTGCCTCCGGGGTCCGGCTAGAAATGAAGGAAGTTTAAAGGTGCAGATCACGTAGAAGGGTCATGTGGCTGCTTTCGAGCTCGAGTTGGTTTCCTTTGATGCTGAGTTCCAGGTCCCGGGGCAAAGAGGGAAAAGGTGGACCAAGGTAGTGCGGACAGGGAGAGGTTACGCAGAATAGTTGTTGGGGGCATCCGCTAGTCAGACTAGCCCCGCCCCTTTACAGTCACCGAATTTACTATTCAAAACGCAGATTATTGTTTGTTGAGGTCAGTCCCTTACAACAGTGGTCTGCTCACCCATTGGTCTTGAATTCCCCTTCTCCCTCCTGAAATATAAAAGACTGGACAACCGTATTTCATTGCCTCCTCAGGTCGCTTCGAAATCCATTCTGCCGTGCAGGATCTCGTGCCTGGCAGGCAAGCACTTTACCGCTGGAATAGCGCTAGACCTTACCATTGCTACCAAGTCATCCTCTTGGGGATGATGCAACGAACTGATAGTCAGACTTAGTGCAACAACTGACTAGGAGCAAGGGAATCAGGGCATAAGTCAGTTCGGGCACTTGAAGTGTAAAAGTTCTTCCGGTTAAATGTTTATTTTTGCTGTGGGTGGTGTATTTCTTCCTAGTTTTGCCCGCTTTGCTCTACAACAAGCAGGTCAAAATCTCCCGTCTTTCTTCTGGTACTGGTTTGAATCCAATAGTGCGTATTTAATGCACAGTGAAAGACATCCTAACAAAGCACACACCCAAACAAAACCATACACAGTCTTTTCATCAGGGTCCGGACAAATTCTAAGAATGGACACAATGGAACCCTTTACGGGACTGCAAGCTCCGGGACGTAGCTCGTCTGTCGGCTCCGGCAGCCAATAGAAATATTGGGAGGCGCGGAGCAGGCTGGGCTTTGTAGTTGGGCTGCGAGCTCGCGGGATTGGCCACCCGGAGGAGGCGGGACCGGCAGAGTCACGTGGTCCCGCTCCCGCCGCCCCCGTTGCCGCCGCCGCCGCCGCCGTCGCGGTCTTTCTCTGTCTGGGCTGAGGCAGCCATCTTGTTCTTGCCGCGTGCTGGTGTTGGAGGACCCTCCCTGCTTCAGGTGAGACCCCCGGCGGTCCCGCCATTCCACGGCCATAGGCCGCTGCGCACGGTGTTCCCCCCGCCCTCTTCTTCCCACACCCGCCAACCGCTCGGGCTGCCACTTCCGCCGTGGCTCGGCGAGTGGGGGCGGAGGCGGCTGGCTCGGCCTGTCGGTCGCGGGCGGCGCAGCTGGGGGTCGGCACCTGAGGGATGGTCCCCAGCACCACCGCCCCCCGTGGAGGCGGGCGGGCCGGCGCTGTGGCCGCCCGCAGCCGTCCCGGGAGGCGGGTGGATCCCCCTCCCCCGCCCCGTTACGCCTCATTATTCACAGCAACAGTGTCATAAGCTCTGAGCTTTATACAGCTTTTCTGCTGGCATCTCCCTTGATCCTCCCAGTCTACCGATAGGGAACTGAGGTTAGCACCCCCGCCCGCGAGCTCGTGGGACCGCACTCGGCTGCAGCGCTCCTCACCTTGTAATGGCAGTATTTGTTTACAAAGTGTGCCTCCCTTTTTGAGATACTGCCTGGTGATTGCTGGACAGCCACAGTATTACACAGCTAGTGAATGGTGGTTTCAACTTCCGTTCCCACGTTTTTACACTGTTTTAGCTGTCCCCTCGCGAGAGGTAAACAGTAATTACTAGTTATTGAATATCTTCTGAGAGCTGTGCCCTGTGCTTGACAGTCTAACCTTTAACGCTCAAAACAACCTTGTGAAGTATGTGTGATACACTTTTTCTAATGCAAGAGGATCTCAAGTTCAAAGAAGTAAAATAACTTTGCGAAACCTTAAATGGTAGTCTTGGTCTTTCTGATTTCACATCCTGTGCTTATCTTAGAGAAACCTCAGAAAAAGTCCAACTAAACGTTCAAATTATTTTTATCTCTGTAAACTACGATGTAGGGTGAAAGTGCCTATGGCAGCACTTGGAACTTAGGCACTCAATTTGTATTTCCCTCATTTATTACGCTCTTTCTTGATTGAGTCCATGAGGAAAACGCTGAAAGATCCTCAAGGAAGCATTCATTAATCATGTGGCTGCGGAAGTTACTTATTCTTTTTCACCATGGAAAGGAACCTCATTTTCTATTAAATTGGGGAAGATGAACTTTTATTGCTAGCAGGTATTTGTGATGGCCTCACATATAAGATAGAAATGACAAGTACCATAAAGATTGAAGAATAGAGAATTAAACCAGGTGATCTTTGAGGTCCACTGCTAGATTCTGAGCTTGCCCTCTCTTCTTTCAGACTGAGTCCAAGCCTCTTTCCTACTTGAATTCCACACACACCAACTTGCTAATAGACAAAGGACCACACTGCTGCCTCTACTGCCTTGAGCGTCTGTCCTCCCTAAGATGCCTTTTCTGTGGAAAAACTCCTTAGGAAGACGATAGCTCAATTCTATTATCCTAACCACCTGGAACACAATCTGTTCTTTCATCTACACATCGATTTAAAGAGATACTTTCGTTCTTGCTTTTGTTTCAAACAAGTCAGGACTCTTTGTCTTGTCTTCCCAACCTCCATCTCTTCTTCTGGGGATTATTACTTCAAAATGCAGAAGAGTCCCAAAGGGTTCACGCTGTGTTTAGTTCTAGTATTTTCACTTAGCCTCCTTTTTGCAAGAAATTCCTTAAGCTCTTTGTTAGCTGACTACACCTTTATGGACACATTCCTTTGAAAAAAGTGAATATTGATTCTTTTCTGTGGATATTTGAATAAAAAGATCGTGACTTACATCATCAGATTTAAGTCTGTGGCAGAGCTAAGATTGGTGCACACCTGACACTTGTTTAGCACACTAAACAATCTCATAAAAATGTTTTCAGCTGCATGAGCATTGATAGACAATGCTGAACAAGGAGAAAGCAGATTCTAATTGTTACTTGGGAACTGGACTTTAGCCTTAAAGCAGAGATATATACAGGTTAGTGTCTAAGTTCAGTGTCAATACAGGATGGTTAGTAATTATATAATCTTTGATATTCTTTCTTTTATCTCTCAAAGCAGTATCTTTTTTCATCTGAAATGTTCATGCATAAGTTAGAAAATTGGCCAAAAAACCGTTTAATGGCCTGTCTCCTTTTTCCTTCCCTCATATTCCAGGATTGATCTACTGAGCCACAGAACAAGTCAAACAAGATTTTTTTTATAGACTTTTAAATTGGCTTCTTCTTTGTTGACTTTGGTGGTCGTGCTGCTGAGAATAGAACCAGGGGCACTCTTACCACCGAGCAACATCCCCAGCCTTTTTTTAACTTTTTATTTTGAGACAAGGTCTCTCTTAAGTTGTCCGTGCTGGCCTTGAACTTTCGTAGTCCTCTGCCCCAGCCTCCCAAGTGACTGGAATTATAGACATCTGCCATCATACCTGGTTTAAATTGGCTTTTGTTTGTATAATGTAAAATGTTAAGATTCATTATAAACTTAGGAATGTTTTCTTTAGTGGAACTACCATTAACGAGGCTAGTATTTATGGTTTTATAATGTTCTTAGAATCTTCAAGAGCTGTAAAAAGCTTATTTTTAAGCATCCCCCCGATTCAGTAATTAATGCAGTTGAGATATACTTTTGTTGGATTGTGCAGTGGTGCATTTTGCCCTTTATGCTTTGGTAAGTGTGACATACTTTGTCACTGCAAGGTATTGGGTGAATGCTGGAGTGCTGCAGAGGCACTGTCTGGAAATCTGTTTCCCCATTATTAGCATCTCAGCTGACCTTGAATAGAGGATGTGACTATTCTCGCGTCTTGACAGCTTATTGTTGAATTCCTTTTTCCACCCTATTTCTTTTTGTCATTTGTGTGGTTTATGAGAAATGCAGAATATGATTTGGGAGGAGATGATCTACTTGAAGGTTTTGCTAATAACATTTGGTAACAGTTCTCTGCTGTAAAAATTTTTGAGAAAAAAACTGGCTTGCCTACAGAGATTTCATAATTGGTTAGATTTTACTGAATGCCAAAGAATTGAATCATGTTTTTAGGAGAAATATTTAATAAGTGATTTAGAATCCCATTGTATTTTCTGTTTGTATATTTGATTACCTGGGGGTGTTACTTCAATTTTGATTTTTTTAAATATCTGATTTATGAAGCCGAATAAGTTATTAATATTTATTAAGAATGTAGATAGTTAATATGATCATGATGTTAATGCATACTGAAAGCTCAGTGGACCAGAAGGTACTGTTTGCATAAACAGTTTTTTAATTTTGGTAACACAGTGACTTTAACAAATGTATTTTTCCCCCCCTAGATTTACCAACAGCATGAATCAAGAAAAGTTAGCCAAACTTCAGGCTCAGGTCCGGATAGGGGGCAAGGTGAGTGTGGCATAAGAAAAACTGATAGGAGAATGTATGATTACCAGATAGTATTATTATTTTGGATTTGTGGTCATTGAAAATCTAAAATCCTTTCATAAATCAATATAAAAAACCACATTCCAATGTGAAAATAATTTGTCTTGGAAGACTTTTCCTCTCATGGTGTGCAGTGGAAATAGCCACCTTTGTTTGACTCCTAACTGCTAGTTCTATAACATAAACAAAGGGTTGGGGATATAGCTCAGCGGCACAAATGCCTGCCTGGCAAATGCAAGGTCCTGAATTAGATTTCCGCCCCGCCGCCCCAAAAGAAACGCGTAACAAGAACAAGTTACCCAACCTTGTTAAGCTTTCATTTTTTAAACTGCAAAATAGAAACAATCCTAAAGGATGCTTCCAGTAATTAGAGTAACACTTACAAGACACCTAACATGGTGTAGGTGCTCAGTAAATAAATGACAGCTATTATGTTAGACTCACCTGCAGGGTATGCCAGTTGTTAGGGTTTCCTCACCTTTACTGAACGAACCACAGGTATAGTTAAGTTCACAAGAGGTTTAACTGGAGATGCTTTAGGTGGTTAGTATTTTATAAGATTTGCCTTCCAAATTTGTACATATTCTATGTTGGTGAATTTGAACATGGATTTTCTTATTCTGTGTACTTTAAGGCCTAAGGAAGTGCTTGTCTGGCCACCAAAAATCTTTTATTTCTCTCCAGGTATGGCCCCACACTCAGGAGAAGGAGAATATTCTGCCCTTATCTTTGTCCAATATGGTGTTTGTAAAAGTGAAAGGGAACTGGGTGTGGTGGTGCATGCGTGTAATCCCAGCACTTGGGAAGTAGGGGTACTACTTTTGGTTTTAGGCCAGCCAGGGCTATATACTGTGAGGCCTTGTCTCAAGAAACCTGGAAAAAAAGTTTTTTAAAAGTGAGAGGACAGATTATTTATCTCTGACCTGGGGAAAAAGTAGCAGATAGAGGACAACAGGCCACACTACATCATTTACATTGGTGTTAAGCACAGCTCCTGGGAATGGAGATGGGAGAGGGGAAAGGGAAGAAGAGGCAAGTACTTTCACATTTCATAGTGATAGAGTAGGTGAGTCTGGAATCACGTTAACACATTCATGTAACCACAGTAGTCGCATTGTAACTTCGAGTGTGATGTAATAACACCAATACAAAAACTAGAGATATTCAAGAACACTACACCTAGAAAGGCTTCACGCAGTGCATCACTACCATATATTCTAAACCAGTGGTTGGTCATTCGTTCTTTGTCTCCTGTTTATTGAGCACTTACCATGTACCCAGTCCATAGTAGATAAACAAGATCTGCTTTTGACACAATTAAGTTTGGAAGAGAGAGATGCTCATAACTGTAATGAAGAATAGTATTGTAATGAAGTACAGAGTGCTTTTGTCTAGGGGAAGCCAGCTGAGATTTAAAGGATAAAGAGTTTTATCTTTAAACAGATGAAAGACTTCATGGGAGATAAGATAAAAGAGGGATTCACACACATGCAAAGCACATAGGGTACTGAGATAAACTTGATGCTTAGTGGAATGGCTTACTTTAGTTTGGTAGAGCTAGAGTGTAGAGTACATAATGTACAGAGAGTAGTAGTAAATCAAAAGACCAGATAGTTTGGGGGTTCCATCATAGTTTTATATGCCATACTAAGGAGCTTGGGATTCTATCCTGTAGGCAGTGAGCAATAATTAAAGAATTTTAAGAAGGAAATGATAGCCATTTTAGAATGGTAACTGCCAGAAGTGTAGAAAATGAAATAGAAGTTTACCATAGAGACTATTAATTGGCTGTTACTATACAGTATGGAACACAAATCTAGGGATTGGAATTGACACGGCTTAATGACTGGTGGGGTATGGGTGATGAAGGGCAGAGAGTATTTTGGGATAACCCCCAGACTTCTGGTTTTTTAGAAACTGGGTTTATATGTGTATCAGATACACAATTTAAGAAATAAAAGATAGGTGGACTGATAACCCTTTAGACATACTGCATTTGAAGTACCCGAGGATCATCTGAGTTGAGGTATATAGCAAGGAATTGAGCTATCCACGTCAGGAATGCTTCATAAATACGTGACCATTTATGTAAATAATGATCCTTCCCACAACTGCTTGTCTTCACAACCTCTGCTGCCAGAGCTCTTGCATTGGACTTACTGAGACTAAAGCCCAACCCTCTTTTTTTTCCCCAAAGAGGACTACTGCTGTAACTACCCAGAGACTGAAATTCCCATTCTTTTCCTCTCATTCCTGGTTTCAGGAAGTTTTTTTGGGGGGGCGGTTTTGAGACAGGAGCTTACTATGTAGTTCAAGGTGGCCTTGAACTCACAGCAGTCCTCCTGCCTTGGCCTCCTGTATGCTGGGCTACCACATGTGCCCACCTAGTTTCAGGAATTTTAATCCTCAAAACTTAATGTTATTTTTGGTCCTGTTTGAGTTCTGCTTTAGGTTATATTTTTTAAAAAATTCACCCACCAATTTAATCTATTATTTTAAATAGTTTTCCAATGGAAAAATGTATGTAGGGTTTAAAGTATCGACATAGAAGTGACTGTTTTGTATTTCAGTAAATAGTGTAGTTTTCCGTCTGTTGCCCAGGTCAGAATCCTAAGCATCATTCTAGATTCTTCTTTCCCTCATACATCTGATCCATCAGAAATCATGTTATCTTTTGTGACACACTGACCCCTTAGCATCTTCTCTGCCACAGCCCTCACCTCTCACCAGGATTGCTGCAGGAGCCTCCTGATTGTTCTCATAGTTCCACACAGCAGCTTAGTTAGGAGCAAATAGGTCAAGTCATCTCCATACTTAAAACTGTTGAAAGGGTTTCTATTACATTTAGAATAAAATCTAACTCCTGTCCATGAAATATTAGGCTAGGTGGTCTGGCCCTTACCTATCTTTCTGATTTCACTTTTCCTCTTCCTTTCCCATTATTCATTCTGCTCTAACCATACTGGCCTGCCTTTTCTTTCTAAAAACCGACAAGTTCAATCTTGTTTCATTTTGCTTAGATCACTTTTCCAGTAGTTGTGGGTCTCAACATGTATGTTACCTCTTCAGGGGAGCCTTCCCTGGTCATTCTATGAAAGTAGTACTTTGTACTTACCCACTCTTAATTACTGTATTCCTATTTTCATTTTGTTTTGGTTTCATAATAGCCTTTATCCTGTTTGAAATAACCTAATCTGTTTATGCATGTATTGACATTGCTGTTATTGTAAGAACTTGATCTTTTTCATTCCTAGAGTCTTAGAACATGCACATGGTAGACATTAATTATTACTATCTTTAGACTTTATAGTACTGGTTGGTAAGGGCTGCATTTTGTATAATGTTTAAAAATTATTATATAAGTATGCCAAGTTGCCTTCAAGTCATAAAGTATGTTTTATTAGCAAACTGTTTTGAAACATAATGTGTTGAAATAATGAAGGCTAGGTATTGGATAAGAATAAGAACTGGTTATTCACCCTCTAGTTATTTTCCTGAAACACTTAAAGATGTCATATTACAGTGATACATACACACCCATGTTTACAGTGGCACAATTTGTAATAGCTAAGTCTTAGAAACAGCCCAAATGCCTATCAACAAATGAACAGATAAAGAAAATACGGTATTTATACACAATAGAGTACTATTCTGCCATAAATAAGGATACACTTGAGTCATTTATAGGAAAATGGATACATCTTGAAACCAAAATGTTCAATGAAATAAATCAGACACACAAGCTTAAATATATATAGCATGGTGTCTGTTATATGAGAATCCAAAATATAAATACAGAGCAAAAGGGAGATCTTTTGCAAAAGGAAAAGGGACCAAGTGATGGGGGAAAGGAGTAGGAGAATTAAGATGTGTTATGTACATGTACTAACCCCATGCAGGGAGTATAATCATTATGTGGTGCAAACATGTACTAATAAAAAATGGGGGGGGGGGGAGTAAGAACTATCTAGAACTGAACTTCAAAAATTTGGATTAGACTGACACCTACAACTTTTGACTAGTCTTAGTAATCATAACTATTCAGTTTTTTATGTCTTAGTTTGTTGTGATAGGAAGATGTGATTGCTGTTGCTAGTTGCTAGGCATGCTAACGTTTCTGATTATTTTTCAGGGTACAGCTCGCAGAAAGAAGAAGGTGGTACACAGAACAGCAACAGCTGATGACAAAAAGCTTCAGAGTTCTCTGAAAAAACTGGCAGTGAATAATATAGCTGGTATTGAAGAGGTATGACCACTTTAAAAACTTAAATTATATGGACAAATAAGACATGTGCAGATAATTGGTGGGGTAAATTGTCAATTCCGAATGTAAAATACTAGCTTAGAAGAATCTTCATTATTGTCATTCAGATGTCTTTGAGGGACTTACAGCTGTTGAATTTGCTTTTTGGTTGAAATCAAGCGATTTTAGTGGACAGTTAAGGATTTTCATCCTACTTTTCAGACTCAAGGTCTTTGCATATATGACAAGTTTATGGAACTGCTTTTAAATTTTAATATAAAATAAGTTTTTTTAATAATATGAAAATTAATACTAAGATTTCTTCAAATATAGTAGAATGTATTTTACCTTAGAGGCACCTTTGTACTGTACAAAACCTCTTTATTACCTCAGCCAAAGCCTCAAGCAATAGCTTTACTAGATTATATTTTATTAGGATTCTCTCAAAAATTAAATTTTAAAATCAGTTTATTGCTTTTTTTTTTTTTTTGAGATAGGGTCTTGCTATAAAGTTCAGGCTAGCTTTGAACTCACTATTATGGGCCACACTGGCCTCGAATTTATAGCAGTCCTCCTGCCTCAGCCTTCCAAGTGCAGGGATTACAGGTGTGCACCAGTTTATTACGTTTTAATGATACTGTTTATCTCAGATGAGGCCAAAGACGAATATTACTCTAAAAGATAGTCAAGAAAAAGTATAACATCAACTACTTACCATCCGTTTTGATCTACCTCTACCTAGTGATTTTATTTCTTACAGAAACTGGTGTGTACATTTTCACTGTCATATGTTAGATTTAATTATGTCATTACTATGTGGGTACCACAGCACAACTTTTAATAGTTTATTAGTGTGTATGTCATATGTAACATGAAACAAATAATGAGGTGAAGACTCACTGATAAAGAGATAATAGTATCAAAGAAAAGCAAGTCAAGTGGCAAAATGCTCCATTATACATATATGAATAAATAAAATTAGTAGCATTTAAATTTGATTTGTAAGGTTTTTTTGTTTTTTGTTTTTTTGAGACAGGGTCTCACTACGTAGCCCAGGCTGGCCTCAAGCTCATGGCAGTCCTCCTACCTCAGCCCGCTGAGTGCTGGGGTTACAGGCACGTACCCCTACACCTGGGCTTGATTTGTACTTTTAAAACCAGTGTACTAATAAAACAGTACAAAGTACAAGCCGTATGCATCTTGTTTCTTTTTAACCTGATGTGACTACATTCTCGTAAAGATTAGAATTTGTACTCTTGAAATTAAGAAGCATTTTTATATACCTTAATTTTTTTCTGAGCTATTGGAAGCTTTTATGTATTTTCGTTGACCTAAAATTTCAGAGACATCATTCTCAGTCTGGAATTTATTTTAGAAAAAAAAAAAAAAAAAAAAAGACAAATCTAGGTTCCTTTAAACTCCTTAAAAATTCAGAACTTGGGCTGGGAGTGTAACTCAGTGTTAGAGGGCTTGCCTAGCATGTGTGAGGCTCAGGGTTCAATTCCCAGTGCAACCAAAGGCAGATAGATAGATGGATGGATGGATAGAGAGAAGGAGAGAGAGAGAGAGAGAGAGAGAGAACAAACTAAAACTTGGTAAAAAGAAGTAAATTGCAACAGTAGGAACACTGATAATCTTATGCCTAACCATTGTAAATTTGTATTTTTGCCCATGTTCCTACTTTTTTAATGCCTCTGCCCCTTCAACCTTAGCAGTACTGACTTTTTTTTTTTTTGTCTTTTTGAAACAGGGTCTTGCTATGCAGTTCAGGCTGGCCTTGAGCTCACTTTGTAGCTCAGGCTGGTCTCCAACTCTCAGTGATCCTCCTGCCTCAGCCTCCTAAGTGCTGGGATTCCAGGCATGGGCCACCACATCCGACTCTTCTTTTTTTATTGAAAAAATTTTTTTTGAAATTTTTTTTTTTTTTTTTTGTACTGAGAATCAAACTCAGGACTCTGCACTGGCCAGGCAGGCACTTGTGCCCACTGAGCTATATCCCCAGCTCCGACATTTTGAAGCAGATAATTCTTTGTTGTAGCAGCTCTCCTGTGTCCTGTAGGATGTTCAGCAGCATCCTTGCCCTCTGCCCACTAGATTGAATCCCAAATATCTCTAAGTACCATCTTTCAAATGGTCCATTGGAGACAAAAGTCACCCTTGGTTGAAAAATACTTCTCTGGAGAGAGGAAAAATATATGTACTTCTTCCTTGGAGTGTAGATTTAACTATGTAGTATTTCCAAGGACATCTTTCCCTGAATGTTTGGTTTGGTCATATTTGGAAGGCTGTGTGATTGCTATAATGGAAGAGAAGCACTAATTTTATAAATGTTTTATAATGAAAAAAAGTAGTAATCTTTTTCTTCCCTTTGGTGATGAGGATTGAATCCAGGACCGTGTATGTGCTAGGCAAGTACCCAACACTGAGCTAAATCCCCAGTCCCAGGATATAAAAGGGATGCGTACACTTTTGCTGCTTCCCAGATCCCCTTGACCCCACCCCTTGTGCATTGTCTTCTAGCCCTTACTGATTAGATGGATGGGGAAATACACATTGAGTAATTAACAATACAGGGTAGCAACTGTAAAGTTTCTGCATAGTTGAATGTAGGATAGAGAGTTTTGCTTCTTTCTTTCCTTCTAAAATTGATTTATTGAGAAACAAAATGTTTGTGCCTTCTATAATCTTTTGCAGATCTAAAATACTTTTTTAGAGACATCTAGTATACTTTATATAACCTGCCTTGCTCACACACTTTTGAATTAAAAACAGCTTTTTGAGAGGGAAGATACTACATTAAATATATACATGAAAACATAATTTACAGAAATGATAAGGTATGAAAAATACATATAGTATGTGACTTAGAATATACTGTTTATTCATAACAAATTTGTTATTTTGGGATATTTTAAACTTGTTAAAACTGCTGCACTCAGGAAGATACTATCTTTTTGGCTTTCGTTAATTTAAGAACTCATGCCAATAATCCCAGTACTTGGGAGGCTGAAGCAAGAGGATTACAAGTTTAAGACCAGCCTGGACAACTTAGCAAGACTTTGTCTCAAAATAAAAAAATAACGAGGGCTTGGGATGTATAGAGTGCTTCTGAATTCAATACACAGTACCACCACTTTTTTTTTTTTTTTAAGAATCAGATTAAAAACTTAAAAAGAGAAGAAACTTACCACTGTTGGAAAAAAAAAATTTATTAGTGTTTTCTGTGCTTAGACCTTTGAAGCATCAAACGAGTAAAAGGTGTTCAGTTAGGGTGTGGAGAACAGGGAAATAAATCAGTGATGAGGTCCCAAGTGCACCTTTGCCAAATAAAATTTTAAATCTTTATGGGGTATCAGTGTTAGAGATACATATTTTTATTCCTTTCCAAAGTTTAATTTCTGTTCTCTTCAGAACTTCTAAAACTGAAGGATTGTTTGGATTAAGACAAGTAGTTCTAGTCTTACATGTATTCATTAATTTCTTCTTTTCTTTTTTTGGGGGGGAGGGCACTGAGAATCAAACTCGGGACCTTGTACTTGCCAGGCAGGCACTGTGCCACTGAGCTACATCCCCAGCCCTTCATTAATTTATTGATTTGATATAATAAGTTATAATTGTACAAACCCAAAGGTATCAAAAAGTAAGGGACAGGACAGTGTTCAAAGACTGTTCAGAGACAAAAATTAACGGCCTGGAGCTGGGGATGTAGCTCAGTAGTAGAGTGCTTGCCTAGCAATGCAAAAGGCCCTGGTTCAATCCCTGGTACCACCAAAAAAAAAAAAAACTAAGGGCCAGGTTCTAGGAAGGAATTCTTAGGAAATTTACAGAGTATAATCTAGAAGCAAATTTCTGAAAATGTTATGTTCTTTGACACATGAAAACATTTTAATGTGCTTCTTGTTTAGCAATCTAGTTGAATATAGCGACCATGCTGTTAGCTTTCTTCCCCTGATAACATGAGTCTGTCAACATTAGGATCTGTTTCATTTCTCAGGAATTTATCAGATTTATTGGGAAAGAGTCCCTAAAAGCATTCTCTGATTCACATACTTTAATTGTTTAGCTTGCTTTATAGTTTTATTATTATATTTACAGGACAGTTTCTTTTTATTTTAAAGAGAAAAAACAAAAACAAATGAAACAATTTCAAAACAAGATAATAAGTAGCAGTGGATAATACATTGCATGTTGTTGTTTTCAAAGTAGTTGCTCAGAGGATAGTTTCTGTCTTAATCAGGGTATAATTCTACCTCTTGCAAACCTTTAATCTTTGTAGGCATAGCTATCAACCCTTCTTCTGTAGTTCTAGTGCCTTGAGCTTAAGTTGCTCTGTTATACATTTGTTATTACTATCTCATATTGTGGTGTATATATATATATATTTTTTTTTTTTTTGGTTTTTCTCCGGTACCGGGAACCGAACTCACGACCTTGCGCTTGCCAGGCAGGCGCTTTTGCCGCTGAGCTAAATCCCCAGCCCCTTGTGGTATATATTGAATGGTTCCTTATTAAGGTATATAGTGAATGTTCCTTAATAAGGAAATTATTAAGTAATAATTATCATTATTAAGTAATGGTTCAGATTAAGGTTTTTTTTTCTTTTTCCTTTTATTGTTAGTGCTTATTAATTTTACAAAAACATCAGTATTTAATTTTGAGTTGGCAGAGGTAACCTAACCAACTATCATTATGTTTGGTACTAAGAAATACACCTTTCAATAAAATTATTGAAATGCAAAAAAAAATTTTTCAGTGTCTGTAAATTTTCCTTGGTTAGACTATCATGAAGGAGTTTTTTTTCCCTAATTCTTTCTCAGCCTGTTCATTTCTGAAGAGAACAGAAATTAAACTTTGGAAAGGAATAAAAATACATATCACTAACACTGATACCCTATTAGGATTTAAAACTTTACTTGGCAAAAGTGCAGTTGGGACCTCATCACTGATTTATTTCTTAGTCCTGCACACCCACAACTGAGTACCTTTTACTCATTTGATGCTTC